CCAGCCATCATGCCTCGGGAAATCAGGCCAGACTTGGGCCTGGTCTTCTCTCCTGCCTTCTTCACATCTGTGTAAGGATCCAGCAAGTGAAGCTTGTTCACCTCCGCCCATGTGGATGCCAAGGGGGCGCTCTCATCTGGTACTATGGGCCCAGGCTTGGTCTTGTGGGGGGGCTTTTTATGTGACAAATTACCAGGTTTAGCCCCATCAAGGCTGTCTGGTCTGTAGAAAAGAAATAATTCCATTAGAACAGACTCCCCAAAAGGAATCAGTAATGACAACAATAAATTCTGCAACCATAGTTACCACATCATAGATAGATAGATAGATAGATAGATAGATAGATAGATAGATAGATTCCTCATCATCCAGCATGCTACGATGAAAGGTAAGTGACAGAAAATACTTTGATATCAGCACTGTGACCTACAAAGGAGCAAACAGACATAGCAAACAAGCAAACAAAATCAGAAATGACAGTCCACATTAGGCTCCCTCAAGTCCTTGCTTACCGAGACCTGGGTTATCCAGCAAAACCAGAAGCCTGCAAAACAGTCCTGGGATATGTGAGAGCTCAGCTTTACTGCACCCATCTGAGAGCGGTGGAGAAAATTTAGCATTTGCTCACTGTTCAGGAAAGTTGGACAAGTGTGCCAAAATCTCTGTGTGTGTGTGTGTGTGTGCGTGCGTGTGTGTGTGTGTGTGTGTGTGTGTGTGTGTGTGTAAGAGACAGAGGAGTGCAGAAAGGAAAAAAGGGGTTGAGAGCAACCAAGTTATGAAAAAGAACACAAGGGGCCAAGATCTGAAACCAGAGACTCAGGTAAAGAGGAGCCTTCCCTAGGACCCAGCACTCCTGACAGCCCAGAGCATTCTACCCCGGGGCAGGGGCAGGGTTGAGCACTGAGGCCTGCTCGATACCACGTTGCCCTCCAAGGCTGAGTCACCCGTGACAGCAGCAGTCATGTGTGCCGTGACTAAGGCACGTCAGGCAAAAGGGACTAGAGCCAACTTGGAGAGAGAGCCATGGGTCAAGAGACAGATCAGAGACAAGAGCCCTGGAAAGGAGCCCCAAGCCAAACAGACAGGCCTATAGCGCAGGATGTGTCCGGCCGAGCAGGCGGGACAGGCCACAGGTGCAAGTTCACCTAAGGAGCCTGGCTTTCCTCCTGAAAGCTGCAGGTGTCGCAGGAAGGCGCAGCCTGGCAGATTGGTTTGTGGGAAGCTCCCGCTGTCTCTCGTGGGGCAGATTTAAGGAGAAGTTACAGAGGGAGAGGCGGGCAGTGTGAATGAGGCCCCTGGCCACAGCGAAGTGGGAGGGGAGAGTCTGGTGTCATCAGGGAGCCGACAAGACACAAGGCCACAGAAAAGGACAGGGAAGGAAGAATGAGGGAGGACACCAAGTGCTGGGCTTGAACTTCTTCACTGCTGCTTTTTCTTTTCGGCTTCTCAGAAATATTTCATTTTTCAGCCCAGTAAATGCCTACAGAGGGGAGCACACCTCCTTACTACCTGGAGCTCAATGTCTTTAGTGGTTCCACCCTTTGGCAGTTTGGCATCCGGGCCCTGAGCCTCAGCTGTCCTCAGGAAATGAAATGCTTTTCTGCTCAGCGGGGGAACAAAACCTTTTCACCAGGAGTTAATCTCATTCTGGGTAACTGTGCGGGCAACTGCCAGGGTGTGATAGTTTTCAGCTAATGTTCTTCAGATAATACGGGTTCAATTAAGAATGCCAAATCATTTTCTTCCAAGCATTCCACAGAATTTATCTTTCAGATTTTCTCCACTTCTACGCTGTCTAATTGCTTTTAGAATTAGAATATTATGCTCCTGTTTTCGAAAAAGTCAGACAAAGCAGGGCCCTGAACTTAGGTGTCTCAGAATGTAAAATATACAATTTTAATGATCACTGTCCTCCATCACAAAATGGTTCATTCTCTAGAAGAATATACTGGTGCTCCACTAGGCATCCTCAGTCCAGCAGAGGCTTTGAAGCACAGAGTACAGGAAGTTGAATAATGCCCTCCCCTCCCCCACACACACACGAGATGTCCCAGTCCTGATCTGTGTGTAATCTGTGACTATATTATCTTCCACATTTGTAGATATGGTTAAATTAAGCATCTTGAGACAGGAGGATAAAGTAGTGAAGTAAATACATCTCTTTTAGTGGTAGTGTGGAAATGTAACCACCCAAGCTGAGGGGTGTGCTTTAATGTAGAGAAAGGGACCAAGAGCCAAGGGAGGAAGGTCTTAACAGGCCAGAAAAGCACTGGGTTTTGCCCTCAAAGCCTCTAGATGGAACTGGCCCTCAGACACCTCGCCTCTCCCCAGTGAAACGGAGTCTGGTCTCTGAGTTCCAGAACAATAAAGAATCGATTTGCACCGTAAGCAACATTTCCAGCCAGTTGACAGTAAAACAGAGACAATACTCTAGAGGATGTGGGTGGAACTCATTCTATTAACTGTAGGTGTTAAAGTCAAAACCTGAAGATTCACAGAGAAGAAGGAATTCTGCCACAAATTATAATACAGGAATCCTGCCTGAATTTCCAGGTTCAGGCCCTGCCCTACAGATTATAGACTCGCCAGTTCCCACCAGTGCATGAGCCAAATCTTAAAATAAACCTCTTTGTATATTCTTATGTATGTGCGTACACATCTGCGTACACAGGAAGTGGCAGTCTACAATAGTTCAGCTTACAATTTTTCAATCTGACAATGGTGTGAAAGAAATACACACTCAGCAGAAACCATACTTTGAATTTCGAATGTTGATCTTTCCTAGTGATATAGAATACAATACTCTATATGCTGGTCAGTGGCAGGGCGCTTTGGCATCGTAGTCAGCCACAACAGGAAACAACGGATCCTCCACAGTACTGCTGCTGCTCAGCTTTGACGATCCGCAGGTTAAGTGAACTGAATGCTTCTGCAACCAGATTTTTCAACTGCCAGTGAGTTTCTCAGGACCTAACCCCATCACAGGTCAAACAGCATCTACATGTGCTGCTGCTTCTGCTTCTCAGGAGAATACTTGATGTTACAGTCACTGAATTAGGGCAGCAATAGGAAGCTACTCTACAGAGGGAATGGGAACCAGTACCTGGCCTTGCTTGTTTCTGCCAAAGATAGTCTCCATCCTGCATCTTCATCTGAAAGGTCGTATATATTCACCAGCGCGGACTCGGAGCTTCTCACCAGTAACTTGTTATTTTTCTTTGGAGTTGAGAGTGCAGGGATTGGAGTTTCTTGGTTTAAATTTTTATCCATATTTCCAGTGTAATCCAAGAAGTATCTAGTGATGAGTTCTAGGCTTGTTCTTAGAGGATTTTCTTTTGCCTATCATTGAGAGGTAGGAAAAATCATTGATCACAGATACAGCTAAATCATAGATACCAATCATAGACGAAGTTAATCATAGATACCATAAAAATCATGTCATTCTAACTCTTTGACATAAATGTGTTGCCTCCTCATTCATTCATACATGCTTTCTGCAAACTCTCACTGGTTGCCTGTTGTGTAAGCCAGGTACTGTGCTGGACAAAGATGTACAGATGAAGACAAAATCTCTATCCTGAAATAACTACCATCTGAGGCCTGAGTCAGGCAATCCAGTGAATAAGTACTATAAAACATGATGTAATACAGGAAAGCCCAAGCAAATTTCCTCTATAAGCAAGTTCTCCCAGGAATAACTTTCTAAAATACCTATCTTATCATTTTTTAATAGGTCTATAGAAAACCCTAACTCTGTAGATAAACATCTGGGGCCTGAATATTTTCTTAGTCTGTGACCTCCCCATTTAATGTCGAACAGTAGCAGTTTAAAGACAACTGGGACAGAAAGCTAATATGAAAAGTATAGAAAGCCAGGAGTGGTAGCACACAGCCATCATCAGCATTTAGGAAGCTAAGGCAAGAGGGTCACCCCAAGGTCAAGGCCAGCATGGGCTACATAGTGAGTTCAAGACCAGCCTGAAGCACAAAGCAAGGAAACAAACAAACAACAACTTCTGGTTTGCCAGAAGTGCTTGTGCTGTTTCCAAAAAAGAAAGAAAGAAAGAAAGAAAGAAAGAAAGAAAGAAAGAAAGAAAGAAAGAAAGAAAGAAAGAAACTTTTGATCCCCTGGCCTGAGCCTGAGGCAGCTGAGATGGCAGTTGAGACTGGGCATGGTGGTGCACGCCTGCAATCCCAGCTCTTGGGAGGCTGTAAACAGGCAGATCACCACAAATCCAATCTAGTAGTGAGACCCTGAATACCCTGTAGACCCTTCCCTAAAATACAAAATAAACAAAGAAACAAACAACAGAAAAGACAAGCAGTCAGGATCAATTCAATTTATACTCTAAGCCTAAAAAAACAGTATTTCCCATTACCTCTTGAGTCTCTCTAAGCCAGAAGAGTAAACCTCCTCCACCGGTTCAGACAGACATGGGCTGTCCAAACCAACATCCACAGACTGGCCTCATGCACCTGCTGTGCATCAGTCTCCATCCCCTACCCCCATCCTACCCCACCCTCCCAGCCCCGCTCTGCTGAGCCGTGGCCAGACAAGGGGTGTTGGGGGGGTTGCAATCTAAGAGTTGCACAGCACCTGACAAAGGGCAGGCTTCATTGTGCGCCCAGGCCCTCCTCCGCTTTCTGTGATCTGTGCCACAGAACTCTAACCTGGCCCATGACCGATGGATAACGACCAAATCTGACAGTCTTGTCTGGTAAGATCCAGGGACGGTTTCATTTACTCACTTCTTTTAGCATTAGACCAAAAAAAGAAAAAAAGGCCAGCCAGATAGCTCAGCAGACTACCGTGCCTCCTTAGGCAGAGGGCAGCGGCTGGGTTTGATCCCCAGCGTGCCCTGCCAGCCCAGCCCCCAGGGCGCACTGAGACAGCAACTGAGACTGGGCGTGGTGGCTTGCGCCTGTAATCCCAGTACTTGGGAGGCTGAAAACAGGAGAATAACTACAAGTCAGATGTACATAGTGAGACCCTGTAGACCCTGTACTAAATGCGAAAAAGAAAATTATTATAAGGGCCATGTTAAAATAAATAAATAAATGGCCATGTTGCCTAAGTCTGAAGCTTACAATAAAGAGAGTTGAGGAAAATATATAATTTACTTTAATTTCTTGCTTTTTCTCTCAAGAAGAGGGATGCGTGGGCGTGGATGGTCTGAATTACACCCCAGACCAGAGGACTTCACAGTACTGCTCACAGCTGACACTCAGCCTTTATAAGCAGCTGGATACTGTTTTTCAAAACTTCCATCTTAATTAGGCATTTTAATTTACCATATATCTAATAGGGAAAAGTTACTAAAATATCACCACTAAATTGCTTGCCATCATGCTCCTCTGGGCTGACTGAAAGACAAAATTGTCATGCAATAAATAGACTAATAAGCGCCTTTTTCTTTAAAAATATAGGCTAATTTGTTGTATCACAGCTAATAACTACTATTTAAATTAAATAATCAGGGCACTTACCAAGGCCTAATGAAAATATCTTAGATATTTTAAGATAACATATTATATTATATTATATTATAGCAAAGAAATAAATATAATTTGAATGGCAAAGATACTTCTGGGAACTTAGGTAGAGGTGATTCTCCCTGAAATCTCCATGGACCAGAAAGGCTAATTAACTACTCTGGGTATCTGTCTCACTCCCAGTGCAGAGTATTCCTAATAAGCACTCTTGCCTCCAAATCTACCAGAGAGAAGGTGCAGAGCACCTGCTGCCGGCCCAAAGGTCTTCCTTCTCCAGCATGGTGCCCATGGGTGCACACAGGAAATGGAGGTGCCGGGGTCCTCCCAGAACCCAAAGATGAAGGCCAGCTGGGTGGCGTCTTCACTGAGCCTCTGAGACGCCTCCTTCTGGCTGCCTCCCCCTTTTTTGCCACAAAGGGGAGCACCAGTGTTTTCGGCAAGCACACAGCAGCAGGAGGGTGGGGGCCTGTTGGCTTAGGCTTACAGATTGGCCTGAAATTCTGTGTTTCACTTTATGAAGTGAAACCAGGTCTAAGATCCTCTCTGGTCCATCAGATGGGTTTCAAGGAGCTTGAAGGTGCCTCTGGATATCTGAGAAACAGCCTTGGTCTCACCTCTACATCAATATAATCTGCTAACATGCTATTTGAGAGTGCCGAATCCTAACCACTAGACCACTAGGGTAGCTCTAACATATTATTTGAAAAATGAGATATAATTAAATAATATACACGATCACTATTATAGCGGTGGAGTTAGGAATCTGAATCCCTGTCCTGTAACTGACTGCGACCTCAGACAGCCACTGTGCTCATAGTTGCCCTCTGGGGGCAGGGGTACCTCATTACGGCAGTGGCTTAAAGGCTTTGTCCCTGGGCCTTGAGGGCTGGCGGCCCAGAAGCCCACTAGGCAGAACCGCCTCCCTGTTCCCATTTCCAAAAGGGCACCTTTCTTTCTTTGTTTTGTGTTTCGAAGTTCTGTGCGACATATCATTTTATTGCCTTGGTTTTTAAATTATGGTAAATGCAAAACCACATGGTCAATCATCAGATTTTTTCTGACTCTGACATTATGCCCAACCACAAGACAACATGTGCTGGGGAGCTTCCTCTATAAATGAATTAGAAAATGTTGTATTCCTAGCAGAAAGATCAATTACCTTGTAATTATCACTTCATTCATTTATCTACTCGTTCATTTAGCCCCTCATTCATTTATTTCACAAAACCATCCTGATGCTTCATTATATCACCAGACAATACATTAATTATGGGGACAGAACAGTGTACAGAAGAGAGATTGCCGCTGGCTTTCTGCAGCATCCAAGTTCACAGGAGAGGCAGACATTAATTAAATAATCATACAAACACCCTATTACAAAAGTGACAGTTCCATCGGGTACTGTGAAAACTTGTTCAGCTTGGAGTCTGCGGGCCAGCGAGGCCCTCCCCACAATGGTGCAAACACGGTCCGTTTGCTTTGACTTCATAGCGCCAGGGTAGAGTGAACCCAATTCCCACCCCTGCCTGAAGTAAGTGTCACAACAGACCTAAGACCAAGGTGTTACTCAGAAAGGAAGAAAGAAAATCTTCTGTAGGCAAGGAATAGAAAATTGTAGCCTGACTTAATACTATATTCTGAAGCAGAATTTTACTCAAAGTAGCCTCATGGAGGAGGAGGGCGTAGGGGGCACAATAGTGGGGGGCTGGGCACAGACACAGCCTGGGCATCAAATCAAACAAGAAACAATTCCACACACAACACTCCGACAGAAGCACAGGGCTGGCAGAGGAGGAAATCCCCGGGGCAGGCCAAGCCCGGGCACCTTCCCCACAGGCCATCAGCCTCAGTGCCAGACCTCACCACACCTTAGGAAGTACACACCTTGTTCTCCCTGTAGAGAAGCTCCAGATGCAAGACCTTTCGGAGGTCATTTCTGCTGTTGATGCTGAGGTCAGAGCGTGGGCGCTCCTGGTCCATGGTCACACATGTCTTCTTCAGGCCCTGAGGGAAGATGTCTGAGTCACTGTTTGCCTCTTTAAATCAAAACCATGAGTCCTCTGATGCAGGGTAAACAAGAGATAACTGATGTTTTTCATTATGATCATTCTCCAATGCTGACTGAAGAATTCATTTTTGTTTAAACTTTACACTTGACATCATCTTCACAGTTGTTCTGAATTTTACAGCAACCATCTGGGGTCAACCATGGCTAGGTTTGTCATGCCTTTTTATAGGTAAGGAGTCAAATCCAGGTAACCTATGCACCCAGGACCAATTTTGAGACCTGTTATTTGGCCTTAGAGTTGGGGACAACAAGTGTGAAGCTTAAAAGTGAAAGAGAAAAAAAAAGCCAATATTCATTCCCTTCATTTCTCAAATGGAGAAATCAGGAGATAAGATGGGTTTTCCCACAGACAACTGGGGGTTCTGACCACCCCAACCTGTGAATCGGTGATTCTGTGACCGTGGTCCATAGGGAGTTCTTGGGCAATGTGTAGTGAGTCACCAGGAAAGCCACTGTCCCTCATGCCACCCTGGCCCAAAACTGAGCTCCTGATGATGCTAAATTGGGAGCGTACTATCTGCTCGCCATCACCTGGTTCCTCCTTGGACACACAGCCCCACAGCTGCTGTCTGTACCCTCAGGGGGCACCAGATGTCCCCAGGATGAGAAGGTGCCTCACAGACCACTCAGCCTGTATCAAGGGCACTCCTCATACCAGACAGATCCCAGCCTCCAGTGTTAGCCATTGCTTCACTTCTCCCCTGGCCTCTGTGTTCAGAATCTCCTGGAGACTCTAGCTTCAGGAAAACCAAGACCAAACCTGCTCCTCCCCGCCATGAATTGAGGGAAGAAGGCTCACTCGGGAAATGAGAACTATGCATACCGCCTGGACCCCAAGAGAGGGAAAAGGAGGTGTTCAGGGAAAGGCAAAGAAAGAAAAGGAAGTGTGTGTTGGAAAAAGGTGGACGAGGTACACGGGGAGAATCAACCAGAAGGAGAGGTGGTACCGCCTGTGGTTCGTGTGCGCTTACCCATGGCTTTCCCACTGATAGAGGCAGTATGGAACATTCTATAAGAAAGGATCCTGCCTCTCTGCTAGACACCTTGATGTTCCCCGGTAGTTCTAAACTCCAAATGTTGGTATATCGAACACCTCCACCCCCATGTGAAGGATACCAGCACTGGGGAAGGTTGCAAGTTTGCTCTCAGGAGTCAACCAGCCCTCAGCCCCAGCCAGACTGCTCAAGCTTCTTTCAGAAACAACCTCATGTATGTTCCAGGCTCTGTCATAGATGTAAGAGAGATGGAAAGAATGAGAGATGACATTCTTTGGAGGGATCAAATGCAAATGGTAAGCATACAGTCTTGTAACTGCCACCAGGCACTACCATGGAAACAACATGGGGAGCACAAATACAAAGACAAGATCTTGGGCCAGGGACATAGCTCAGCTGCACAGTGCCTGCCTGGCAAGTGCAAGGTTATGAGCTTGATTCCCAGCACACCCCTCCCCCCAAAAAAAGCAAGGGTCACTATTTCAGATAAACAGCTATTTTTTGCATCATTGCTGTGCTCTCTCTTCTGGCGCCCCCATTTGTAAGTTGAAGACCAAGAGCCACTCAGTTACCAATGCTGTCTCTAGGAGCTGGGCAGTGAACAAATTGAAGTCTCATCCTCCATCAGCTTGCATTCTACAGGGGAAAGACAACAAATCTAACATGCTGGGCATGGGGAGATAGTAGCGTAGGAAAGCAGAGTCAGGTAGCGGTTCGGTTGTCTCCTGTTTACCCTCCGTCGGAGGACAGAAAGTTTTTATTTAAAGAGATGGTGTGGAGAAGGATGCTGTTTTATGAAAAGTGGTCAGGAAAGGGTCCATGGGTTGAGGAACTGTAGGCAGAGACCTGAGGGAAGTGAGGGAGCAGCCCAGACGGACCCTTGGGAGAGCAGTGTATAGAAATATAGATATGAAACGAAAGCCTAATGTCCCAAGGCAGCAGGGAGCGATAGACAGAGCCCAAGGGGAGGAGCTGCTATCTCTCACTTGTAAGGCAAGCTGGGATTCAAGGCTTCAGATAACAGCCTCTCCTGTGGGCGCCCTGATCTTTGATCCCTTGCTTGGAAGTTGTTATCAGCTAGCATTTGTGTGAACCTAGAGTTAGGCAAATGGTGGAAGTCAATAGAGATAGTAGTTTGTGTTCACTTAAGTAATTATGCACGTTCCTTAGCCTGCCTTGAGCCCTCAATAAATGTGAGATGCTTTGAGGCTCTGGGCTCCCTTGGAGAGAGACTAATCTCAGTGAGGCCACTGAAGCTACATTCATCAGGTTTTCGCGTCACTTCTTTCTGCACAGACTCGTAACATACAACAGTAGTGTTCCACTCGGAACAGCAAGTGCACAGGTCCCCTGGCAGCTGCAACGGCCGGTGCATCTAGAGCTTCATGGCCACAGGATAGAGCGGGGAGATGGGGCCAGAGAGCTGAGCCAGACTCTGACAAGGAAAAAGCAAGTGAAACTCTGGTGACACGCGCAGGACTACAGAAGGGCTGGAGGAATGCTAGGACCAACATATTTTCAAAGGATCACTTGACTGCTGGGTGGAAAAGAATATAGGAGGCAGGTGACTAAGCAGAAGCTACTTCACATTTCACACGAAACACAGGGGCTGCATGGGCCAGGGGAGAGGGGCTAAGAAGCGGCTGCTCTGTGCGCTCTGGTGGTAGAGCCAACAGACTGGCTGATGGTCTGCATGTAGGTGCCCAAGAAGGAATAGTCCCTCGCCTGGCGTCTGCACTGACTCTAGGTAGGGTCAGAAGTGAAGTGAATTGCAGGACAGTTGGTGTGCAAAGTGTTTGAGACCTGGTTGGTAAGGGGCGGGATGGGGGGATATTTGGTGCCTGAAATATTGTGAGTGACGCCACTATCAGAGACAGGTTGAGAAGCTAATTAGACATCTATGTGGAAATATAGCATACCGAAAAAGAGTTCAATTCAAGGCGAGATAAACATTTTAGGATTGTCAGCAGATAGAACCTTCTGGAACCCACAAAACTGGCTGGGATGCTAAACAAAGATGGAAAATACAAGGGGGAAGGGCCATATACTGAGGCATTGAGCTCCCCGGCATCCACAGCACAGATCAGGGAAGGAGGGGGGACAAAGACGCTGAGGAGCAGCCACCAGAGAAAGCAAAAGAAAGCCAAAAGCAGATGGCACCTGGGAGCCAAGAAAAGAACAGATTTCTCAATGGTGACACACACAATTCTCAGATCAAGAAAAGCAAGGCATCTGGGGCTGGTGAGATGGCTCAGTGGTCTAAAGCACCTACTTAGAACAAGCTTAGCAAAGCACAGGGACCGTGGTTCAATCCCCCAGCATCACATGCCAGCCAGCCCCGCCCCCTGGTGGGCTGAGCTGGCCACACACACACACACACACACACACACACATAAATTTTTTTTAAAAATTAAAAAGAAAAGCAAGGAGTGAACATTAGAGGTCAATGGTGACTTGGTAAAAGTGGTCTCCCCAGACTATGGGGACAAAAGCCAGATTAAAATGAGTCTGAGAAAGTTGGTGGAGCCAGAGTATACACAGCTTTTCCATGGGATTTACTAAAAAGGGGAGGCAAAATAAAGACCCACAGCCACAGGGCTTGGGGTCAAACTGGGATGCTGTAGGAGCCCGTATGTGGACATCCCAGTGGAGAGGGAAACGTCCGGGCACAGGAGCATGATGTGTCCCTAAGCACACATGAGGGGCCAGACTGCCTGACCAGGCACAGAGGACTCATTGCTAGGAACACAAGTGGGGATGGAGTGACTGGCTGAGGCCCAGGGTGGTTTATCCATGTGTGGGTGGGAGCCTGTGTACCTCTTCTCACTTCTCCTTGACTACATCTGCTTTCTCAGTGAGCTCAGATGGGAAAGGAGCCTTGGGATGGGGAGAGACAAGGTGTGAGACGAGCACCCAGGATCTGAGAGAGTGATCAGGCTGGACGGCACATCCAGGTGCACAGGTGACCCCGGGACACCACAGCATGAGTGGCCATGGACTCAAAGGGATGCCATCAGCTCGGTGGTGGTGCTCTGCAACCTCACTGGGCTCTCAGGGGCAGGCAGCGGGCAGGCTGGGGTGACTTTTATCCAGCTGTGGGGAGAATAATGGAAGGAGGAGAGAGCGTGAGAGAGTGGAGCAGGTCATGAAGCATATGATTATGACGGTGGGTGGGTGAGATATGGGATGTAGGACTGGAAAGTTGGCGGAAACAATGATACATGTCCAGGTAAGGGTGAAGAATAAGAGGTCTAGGGCTAAGAAGAGAAATGTGCTGGAAAGAGGAAAGGTGGGATACTTGAAATTGAGATCTTGGAAAGGGTGCAGTGCTAGAATGAAGAAGCCAAGGCCATTATCCCAGGAGAGGGTGACAGAGGGCAGATGAGGGACAGATCCCTGCAGCAGGGGAGGAACCACAGAACCAAGAGGCTGTAGCACCAGAGGATCCACTGCACCCCGACATCACCAGGGGCCTCTCACGAGTCTCCCTGAGGGCAGGCTACACTCAGTGAGTCTAAGGACGCCCGAGGGGCTGGAGGATAGAGGATATGGAAACCACAGTGGAAGAGTAAGGCTGCGGGCAGCCAGGCCTTGAAGGACATCATAATCAAAGAAGCCAGTGAAGGAAGGTATTGGGTGAGCTCCTGATATCGTTTGGCCTGCTCACCCTGGGTCAGGCTTTTGACCTCCTGGTCTTACAATCATCCTATGTGAAAAAGAACAATGAAATTATATCCTTCTCTCAAGACAGAAGAATTTGAGAAAACAGCACCCAGCAGTGCCTGGCGCCATGGTGGGAATTCAGCTCATAGCTGCTGAGCATCTGCCCACATGAAGCCTGCACACAAGGCAGTGAGATCAGTAGTCACCCAACTCTCCATGACTTCCTGAGTGACCTGGGCCACTCCTTCTACTCTCAGGACCTTAGTGGTGAAGATGGGGCGTGGGAGGCAGAGGAGGCCAAGGGGACTAGCAGGCATCCAAGGTGCTGCTAGGTTTGGGGGCCAGTGTTGGGCCCCACATGGAAGGTGACACAGGCAGAGGGATTAACTATAACATAAGCACCAATGAGCAGGCCCAGACAAGATGAGTTGAGGACCACTTGGCTGGAGCTACCCGAGAAGCTCGCTGGGAGATGGAACTTGGTTGGCATGGGCCTGGTTGGATGAGAAGAAAAAACGGGAGAAGCTAGAAATGAGGGTGGGATAGGATGGTAGTCTGGGGTCATGCTGTCAGGGCCCCAGAGAAGTGTGCAAGGACTTCAGTCTTATCTGTATCCAATAAAAGAAAGCACATGGAAGCCACCGGATGCCCATGTAAAGGAAGGAAACACTGACAGTGGTCAGCCTCCCAGGTGCGCCACTCTTGTTTTTGAGATAAGGAGATTAAGACAGCAAGTAACAGGTGACAGCTTACACGTTCGCACTGTGAACTCGTAACAAATATTTGAACCTCCTGCATCCAACATCTCCATACAAAATTTGTGTGGGTGCCAGGCCTGGTAGCACATGCTTGTAATCCCAGCACTCAGGAGATTGAGGCAGGAGGATCGCCACTCATTTAAGGTCAGCCTGGACCACAGAGTGAGACCTTGCCACAAAAAAAAAAAAAAGCAAAGCAAAGCAAAGCAAAAGTTGGGGGTAGAGGGACAGGGAGGTTCAACCCCGGACAATGCCCCTGGGCCCCACTCAACATTAACACAGAAACAGAATCCATAACCGCATAGCCCTCAGGTACTTCTCATAGACTAAATAAACAGATGGTCCCAGGCATCCTCCTGGACCTGCAGACCCTTCTACACCAGGTCCCCATCACCGCCAGGGCAGTGTAAACATTTAAAAATCCCCCGTGGGACAAAACGAAAGAAGAATCTACAAATTCCTCCTACAAAATGCTAGTTCTACAGCAGGGACTCCCACTGTTCATTAAAAAGACTAAAGGCTTGACTCTCAGGAACTTTTCCCAGCCGTCTAGGCTCATGGGAGGAAGTTTTTTCGCAGCAGACCTGGGCAAATGGTCCTGCAGGCCGGTGACCCGGCTCGGGCTGCAGCCTCCTTGCTGTGCCCGGCAACAGGGACGCTCGGCTGTGCCCTGGAGCTCCCGCCCCAGCAGGCTGCTGCTCACTCCTTCTGAGAGCAGGGGGTTCAGAAAAGAAGGAGGGCAGGGAGCCCCCAGACGGGCTTTGCGGAAGTGCCCGGGAACAGTGACAGAAATGGCTCCTGGGAAATGTAGTTCTCATATCCGGGGAAGTGGCGCTCTTGTAGGAGCATCTGCGAAGCGGTCCGAAGGCCAGGAACACTCCCGCCCCGGTGGTGCAAAGGTGCCAGCAAAGTCCCAGGCTGCCCCGCCCTGCGTGGAGCCACAGCCTGCGCTTCGGAGGGGCGAGCCATTACCTTTCTGCTGAGGAACTCCCTGACCAGGGAAGCGGCCACCTCCTCCACAAAGAAGCTATCCATGCTGTGGGCTCTGCCCACGAGGCCACCAGGGTCACAGCCCCAGGCCTCGCAGTCCGTTAGGCCCAGTGTGGCCGTGTTGCCGTGGCGACGGTGGCTTCTGAGCGAGTGAGAGCTCCTCCCCTTCCCTGGGAGCCACCCACTGGGAGGGCGAGAGGGAAGGGGAGGAGCATCCTTCACACGCGGCTTGTAGTGCAGAAGGGCAGCCCGGGAGCAGGCCCGGCGCGGCTCGGGGCTCAGGGCAGATGCTAGCCCAAGGACAAGCCACTGGTGAAACCTTCTGTCTGCAGGACAAGTTCCCGACGCGGTCTGAGTCTGCATTTCGTTAGACATAAAGTGGAAGCGTGACTGCCTCCTTGTTCCTAGAGTACCACCCTCACAGGGAAGTAGCCTTAGAGGTCCACCACAGCCCACGGAACCCCCTGGCTCACCGACACTCACTGGCCTGGATGGCCTGGACTCTGCTGCTGGAGTAGAGAAAGGACAAGTCCCTGTCCCACTTGGTGACAACTTTCTATTGGTGAAACTGCCATTTTTCGAGCATCAAGAGATTTATATAACACATACCTATCTCTAATACTTATAGTTTCTTGGCATTGTGGTCACTATTGGTCCTATTCTTTAGAAACAGAAGTGGTGACTCAGAAAGGCAAAGATTTTGCTGGAAGCCATGCACTCATGTATTGGAAAAGCTGAGATTCCAGCCAAGATCATGTGTTTACCTGGGGCTATGTCCACTACTAACTCAGCCGTTTGGGTACCACTTTCATGGTCTGAGTTTCACCCATTGTTTTAGGGTTCTAGGGTTGCCCAAACAACATACCACAACAATGAACCTATGGTCGCACAATTTTGGATCCTGAAAGTCCAAGATCAGTGTGTCCTGGCGACTATTTCTTGAGACCTCCCTCCTTTGCTTATAGATGAGCATCTTCTTCTAGTGTCCTCGCAAGGGCTTTCCCCTGTGTGAGTCTGGGTCCTAGTCCCCTCTCCCTATAAAGACACCAGTCTCATAGGATTAGACCTCACCATTGTAACTTAATCATCTCTCTAAAGTGCCTGTTACCAAATACAGTCTCATTCTGAGGTGTCAGGCATCAGGACGTCAACACATTAACTTTGGGAACATAACACAGTCCACACCACCTATATTGTTACTTAGCTATAATTTTTCTTTAAGCTGAATCCATGCCTTAAAACTTCTTTTTTAAAAGAAAAAGACATTAATAGACACAAAACTATAGATCCTGGGTGTTTGCTAAACCTTTAATATACATTAAAACATATGAAACTAGAAAAGAATTCATGCATCTAAAATCATCTCAGGTCTAGTGACATACATGCCACACTTTGGAAGTTACCATACCATTCTGTAGTATCTCAAAGACACCACTGTCACATGATGGGTTGCGTTATAATCACTGGCATTCTATCTCTCTGACTCTCCACAGTGCTCTGAGAAGATGCCTTGATGCACTCAGTTCCCTGAGAGACCATGCACACATGTTAGGCTGTGGGTACAGAGCTACAGGGGGCCGCCTGATCCTTGCACAGAAGTCCCTGTTTTCCAGCTGCAAAGACACGAATGGATATGTAATAATGCTGCAGTAACAGATGGCATATCTTAGATAGTAGGTGCCACATAATAAGTCAAAAGAAAAAAAGAACCCCCTCCATAGACAGGTCAAAATGAAACTGGGGCAAAGAGAGAAATTTCATTCGTTCATCTATTCATTTATTTATTATTAAATATACAGTGGGGCTTTCTGGGGCTCAGGTGTTCAGGTACTATGGATTTTACCCTGTAAAATTTGTATGTTCATGGCAGGAGAGATATGGAAGACAGTGGAGATGGGAAATACAAATAAAAACAAATTTTAAAAAACACTGACACTTAAAAACATATCATAGGCATTTAAAAACATGGCATAGATTTAGAGAGAAAAAATGCAAAAATGTTAGTGTGGGTTTTGTTTTTTTTTTTGAAGACCAGAAATTACATGTTTTATTGTTCATTGGGTAAGATTACATAGGCAGTAATGTCCTAGTAAAAATCTAAAGGGAAGAAATGGACCAGGCAGAGTGTTAAGGCTTGTGTCTAGATGCCCCTACAAAGCCTCATGTGGTCACAGGTTGGGTTTTTCAGAGGTGGCTGGATTTAGGGTGTGTGGTGCTGAGATTAAGTGTGTGATGCTAGGATTAAGAGTGCCCCACCCAGGGTGTCCTGGCACCATCCAAAGGGCAGGTAGTCTGGATGAAATATAAAGGTAGCCTTGGCTACTGTGGTCACGACTTTGCTGCCTTCTGCCTGCCAAGAGCTGTTTGTCCTCCTCATTGTCCCTCTGTCATGCCACGTACCAAACAGTGGACCGAAATCTCTATAAACTGTGAGCCAAATAAGCCTTTTCTGCTTTAATTTGGGGTGTCACATATGTCCTCAATAGATAGCACACCCAAGGAAGAGGAAATAGCCAATGCAGAGGCCTAGAGATGGCACTAGTGAAATAAGAAGGCCAGGGGCAGTAGTGAGGCTGAGGAAACTTGGGCCACCTATGTGGGCCTGTGGGCCTCATCAGGACTCCAGCATTTACTCTGAACTGGGAATCCTGGGGAGAAGACAAGAGAAACAGTGATTTAGGATGTGATTTAGGACGGCAGGATCCTCCTGGTTCTTGGGTTGAGAACAGTGTGTATAGGGGCAAGTATGGAAGCCAGGAGACTGATGAAGACAATCGAGACAATCAGTAATCAGGGTGAAATTTAGGTTAGACATAGTGTGTGTGTGTGTGTGTGTGTGTGTGTGTGTGTGTGTGTGTGTGTGCAAGCGCATGTGTACTAATGAGTGTTACATTCTCCTTGCTCTGAAACTTTTACCACACTAGAATGGAATGGTTAAACAAGAGGAGCAGAAAAGCATTCTTCCAAACACACAGCTGATTCCTGGGGATAGGGTAAAGCATCAAGTAAAAAGGCCAGTATTGTCCACATGGGAAAGGCAAAGGTATCCTTGTAGAAGTGTGGGGAAATCAGATCACATCACATGTCCCCTTCTCTCCCACAGATTTCCTGCAGGGTATCCTGACCTCTCCACACTGTTCCTGTGAGCTGGAACATTACCCCTGAGCACCGTGAGACAGCCTGGTCTGAATGTGCATGGGAGGCAAAGTTCTCAGTGATGACTGCTTCCAAATCACACACTGGAGCTACAAGCAACAATGTCACCAAAGCAAGGACCCAGACATTGTAAATGTCAGTGTTGTCCAGTCTTTGTGAATATCTGTAATAGCTTTCCAACACTCTGACAAAATACCTGAGATAAACAACTTATAAGGAAGAAAGGTTTATTTTGACTCACGGCTTCCAGGAGTGTCAGTCTGTGATCACTTGGCCTTGTTGCTTTGGGCATGGTCCACCTGGGGCTGGAGCACACAGCAGAGGCCTATTCACTTCACAGCAGCCAGGGTGCAGAGGAGAAGAACAAAGACTGCCCCCGAATGCCCCCTCAGAGACACATCCCTGTGGCCTCACTGCCTCCCTACACCTGCCTCCTAAGGGTCCCACCGTCTCTCAGTGGTGCCACAGGCTGGTGACCAAGCCCTACGCACATGAACTGGGGAAGGGAGGCTTAAGATCCAGCCACCAGTTACAGACAGCAGGATATCTTGGTGTAAAATATGAAAAGCTTGAACCATGAGATGGTAATTTGTGGGAAAATAGAGGCGTGGTAAAATCTTGTAAAAATAAAAGCAAGGGATTGCAGATGCTGTGCTTCAGGACTGTAGTTGGCAGGAGAGAGTCACAGAGATGAGTGTGAGGAATTGTCAGCATTCACGGTGCCACCAGGACATTTGCTTCATAAACATTTGTCATATGTTCCAAATGTTTGTATTCATAAACATTCGTCACATTGTTCTATTTGTTATATTATTTTTAAAGCTTTTAGTTGCAGCAAACAAAACGAAGTTTAATCCTTTTGTGACTTCAGACCGAAGCAAAAACTGTAAAAGGCATTTCAATGTGCCTTCCCACATTTTCAGGAATATTATGTCTTCTCCTCTTTCCAAAGAGCTGAGACAGAAATATAATGTTCACTCTATGCCCATCTGAAAGGATGATGAAGTTGAGATTGTGCGAGGACACTATAAAGGTCAGCAGATTGGCAAAGTAGTCCAGGTTTACAGGAAGAAGTATATCATCTACATTGAACGGGTGCAGTGGGAAAAGGCCAGTGGCACAGCTGTCCACATGGGCATTCACCCCAGTAAGGTGGTTATCACCAGGCTAAAGCTAAATAAAGACCACAAAAAGATCCTGGAACGGAAAGCCAAGTCTCGCCAAGTAGGAAAGGAAAAGGGCAAATACAAGGAAGAAATGATTGAGAAGATGCAGGAATAAAGTCCTCCTGTGTGCAACTTTTAATTAAAAACACTAAAACGAAAAAAAAAAGGTTTTGTGTATTTAGTACAGGGTCTACAGGGTCTCACTACACAGATCAGACTCATAGTGATCCTCCTGTTTTCAGCCTCCCAAGCACTGGGATTACAGGTGCTCCACCATGCCCAGTCTCAGTCGCCATCTCAGCAACCCTGGGGGCAGAGCCAACACAGCATGCCAAGGATCGAAAGTTATATTATTTTTATTGGTTCATTAGTCAGTAAAAGATGGCTATGGGGAAATCAATAATAGCAGAATATCATGAACCAAGGTACATTACTAATTCATTCTGTGCCCCTAAGGTACAGAGGAAAGAAAAAAAAGAGAAGGTCAATGGATATCATGTTAGAAGGACAATTAGGGAACACAACACAGCTTTCAGAGGACAAAGCGTGGGTGGGTGGGTGCGTAGGTGTATGTGAAATTGTGGGTCAGTCCACCTGTGTGTCAAGTGGCCCCTATGTTTGTGTGAGTCATCAACAGGGATTCATAGAGCCCCACAGACACTCAGTTCTATCTGGTACACTTTTGGTTCTGGCAGCAGAATACATCAGATCTACAACTGGGCTCAAAAGAGGCCTGCTGCCTAGGGACCCAGAGTTTTGTGACAACATGAGAAGCACATGATGTCTCCTCCAGGAAGCTCTCCAGGGGTACTGGAGAAGGAATTCACCTCCCACCTGAG